CGGGCGCTCTTCGGCGCCTTCCTGCGGAGCCTGGCCCGGGCGCCCCGCGCGGCGCGGCCCGAGGGCGTGTGGCAGGGCTGCTTCCTGGAGGGCCCGCCCGGCCTCGCCCTCTGCGTCCTGCTGGAAGCCCTCGCCTCCCCGGGGTCAGTCCGGCTTGGGCTTGGCGGGCGGCTCCCGCGGGGCCGGCCGGGGCTCCTGGGGCCTGCATCCCGGTGGGAGGCGGGCAGAGGCGGGCGTCAGGCGGCGCGGTGGCCTGGAGAGCTGAGAGGGGGCTCCTCCGCCTCCGAGTTCGTCTCGGAGCGCAAAAGGAGGGATGTCTGAGGGTGCCCCACCTGTGGTGTAACGGGGGCATAAACGTGCGAGTGGACGGAGATGGGAGTGGGCGTGGGGAGGCCTTGCACTGCCCTCGGCTCCCCTGAATCCCTTCGTTTCAAAACCCACGTACAGCACCGGTGCTTCCTGCAGAGGTCACAGAACTGTCTTCAGTTATGCTTGTTGAATATCCTGAAAAGCTGGGAGCCAAGGAAACCGTAGAGATACAAAGGGATTAAAATCGCTTTGATTTTAACTTGTTTTGGATTAAAATTCTGTGTGATTGAGCTGCAGTGTTGTAGTGGTGAGAACACAATAGCAAAACAATAGCATGCACGTCTTTTGTTATCAGTTAAAAGGGGCAGGGACTTATTCCAGTTACTTTCTTCCAGTCCTAGTGTTCATCCGAGGGAGGTCATTCAGGTACTGGAACAGTTCCTACAGGAGGGACGGATTTCAGCGCTGATGTGGGAGGTCTGTCAGCAGCAAGCGCAGGCTGGCTCACCTGAGCTGCAAGAGGCCCTGCTCAACAAGATTGTATGTTTGCCTGATCATGTGAGCAATAAACTCCAGGGGAAAAACCCAGCAGTATTCTTCCCACAGAACTACTTTCCTCTCTTGGGTGGTGCAGTTATCCAGGTGCTGCAGAAGATCTCTGATTCTCTAAGAGGTAAGATTGCAGGAGGACTGTGCTATAGAGGTGGCTCTTCTTCAGAAGTGTTTTGTGCATGGACCCCCTTGGCTGGTGCTTGAAATACAAATAATGGGTATTGCAGAGCCTCATGTTTATCCTTCAGGCTGAAGTTTGTTGTGTTTAAAAGCATAAGATACCAGGAATGAGGAAGGCAGCCAAAGCTTTTTAAAATCTCACTGAAAGCTGCAATCCTACAAGCAGTTAAATAGCATCATCTGTTGCCAAAGCTTAATTGTGGTCACTTGGTCTGTGCTGAAGGAATTGTAGGGAAGATTTAAATGGCACTGAATGAACCACTGGCTTTGTTACCATTGTGTTAAAGTGGGACTGAGCTACTTTAGTCTTCTGACTCTCACTGCATGTAAATAATACTGGGTGCTGTTTTGTGCCTGAAGGCAGGTGGTGGGGGGAAGATGAGACGATGCTTGAAGAGAAATAATTAATCTATGTTTTCAGGCTTCAGTACTTGTAGAAGTGTATGCACCTCCTTCTGAAGGTTGTTTGGAGGATACTGGTGATGCTCTTGTTAAGCTTGTGTCTGTTTTGTCCCAGGTGGCTTGGATTGCTCAATCTCTTTTGTTTCTCATGTCCTGGGGAAGGTGTGCGTTCATGGAAGACAAAGTGAGTGTTTTTCAGTACTATTTTGGGGAGGGGGGGAAAGTCTGTTTTACGGTATTAGTACGGACGGATGACTATGATGATGACCACTTAATACTTTGGGGGTTTTGTGAGTTGGACTGCATGGGCTGCTGTCTGCTTTCTGAGGCTACTCAACTACATATCTGATAGATGTTGATGCTTTTCTGTCAGCTCATGTGAAAGTGATCTGTTCTCTCAAAAATTGATGAGGTCATTAGTCTTCTCATCCTGCCATTTGGGGTATAACTATTAAATGCTCTTCTAGTGCTTTTCATCCAGTGGTCTAAAAGTGCCTTGTAAATGCCAGCATAAATCACTGCCATATGTAATAACCCTCTCACATGAGTAGCCTTCAGTCTGGCTTTGCTTAGGACTTTTAAGCCACTGAATGCAGTAGTTAACAGGGCTGGGGAAGAAGAGGAAAGATTTTCTAGCTGTTTAGTGTGATGAGGAATACTTGGAAGTTCCTTAATCATCTTAGGTTAGTTCTTCCCACAGGGGCAATTTAGAACTGCAAACTGTACATTGTATTTCTTCATCTTGTAAGGATCTTGAAATTTGGAGGCTGACCTTGAGTACCATTGCACCAGTTCTGTCCATCTGGTGTATTTACCTATTTTCTCTTCCACTTCAGAGGAAATTCTGAGTGTTTTGGTACCCCGCCTAACGGATCTCACTAAGTCAGACTGCATCTGGCAAAGAATATGCTGGCGATTGGTTGAATGTGTGCCTGATCGGTGGATGGAAGCAGTGGTCCTTGGTTTTGTGCAGAGAGCACCCGGGTAAGAACTCTGCTTTCCTCCCTGATCCAGACCAAAGGCTGGAATTTTTTCACAAATACTTGCAGAATCAGTTTCTGAAAGATGCTGACGTGTGTGTGTGTTTGTGTAGGTGGTTTCTTCTGCAGTACCATTTCCTGAGAGGCTCTAGGGGTAAAGTGAAGTAGTTGATTGTTCCCTCTCAGGGAGAACCTGCACCATTCCTTAAAGATCTGTGTCATGACATGCAGTGAAAAAAGAAGTGAAAACATTCTTTGCAATTACTGACTCACTCTTAAAGTTTAGAGGTGTTTTAGAGACTTTGTTGCAAATAGCTGCTCACAGAATTTCCTAGGATTAGTAGCAGCATGACAGTAATTACATGGATTCCTAATGTTTTGCTCTTAACCTGTCTTGCTAGGGCAGATGTCTTGTCTAGGTTGCTGGGGAACCTGGTTGTGAAAAACAAGAAAGCTCAGTTTGTGGTGACACAGAAGGTGCTGCTCTTGCAGTATTGCCACACGGTAAGGACTCCGCCTTGAACAGCGGTGTCGTCATGCCTGTTTTCCCCAAGTGCCAATGTGGTTTTTAGCTGAGCTCCAGGTCTTCTTGAGTAAGATTTAAGTCTTCATTCTGAAATCAGCCTTCAGTCTCCACATGTACCTGAGTTGTGCAGCTGTTGGCTTACATCCTGTCAGCTGAATGTAGTGAAGAGGAAGTGGTAAATGGTTGCTTTGAAATTGTAGGATTCATGTGCTTTCTCAGGGTTGATGGCGATTAACGAATTACTGTACTCTTTTTCTGGAACCAAATGGTTATTTGCACACAGTTTCAGTGTTCTGGGGAGCTGGAGACATCTAGTTAATTTAGAACCTGAAAGAAAAGACTGAAGAAGCCATGACTCTCCCTCACGGATGAGTAGTAGATGAGATGAGGACTGTTGGTTTTTTATTCCTGTGCACCTAAGTTTGTCACAAGGTGTTAGGAAGTGTTCTGTGGCTTGTGATGTGAGAGAGTCTCTAGAATTCCTGTGTTCCATGTTTGCCTGGGACTGTGCTGATCTGGTTGGTGGCAAAAACACCGTGCTGTACTCCTGTCCTGTTTTTTCATATATTTCATCAGCAACTGCATGTGTGTGGTTGTTTTTTTTTTTTAAATTTGCTTACTTTTCTGTCTCTTGAGTGTTGTCAACCAGTCCCTCAGAATGAAAAGTTTAACATAGTAAAAACACATACTTGTCATTGCTGGATGACAACTTTATGCCCAGTTAAAGCAAGACTCATGGTTTTTGTTGCAGACTGCGGTGCTGCAGAACCTCCTTGGCTACCTGTCCCTGGATAGCCTTCGGCGTGCCTTATTGATCAAAGTAAGGTTAAGTAATATTGTTGGTGAGGTATCTGATGGAAAAAAATTCTACCGTGTGAGTGTGTGTGTCTGTGGGGTGCACAGTTTTGGTACTTCTCTAAGACACTTCTGTTACTGTTCATGAGAGTGAGGGAAACCCGACCATATCACAAGTAAATTGTGATATACAAATAGAAGACTTTCTGCACTGCTGGCGTTAGTTTTTCGTATTTAATTGGTAAGTTGTCTTCCAAGTAGCAAAACTAATGAGGCTTGGATTCCGACAGATGTTCCATGTCTTCCATCCTTCCCAGCTTTCTCTGTCATCCCCTGTTTGTGTGGCTGGGCAAACGGCAGCAAGTGAGGAAGTTGTTTGAGAACTGTCTGTGTGCCAAATGGTTGATGAATCAGAATCTCTCTCATCTACCTTTTCCTCAGTGAGGATGCCGATATTTTCTCCCTCCAAGTCACCAGTGTGATGGAACTTCTAGGAAATTTGTATGTCCAGAAATCTCTACCATTTTGTCAGTTAGTTTGGTTTTTTCACTGGTTACACATTGTAAAATTATCTGGAAGTACTGGCAGCTATATAAGATTGGACTGAAAACATACAAAACCATAAAATATCATACTGTTTTTTGACAATAATGCATATTGCTTTGCATATAATATTTATGAGAAATAAGCATCTTTATAATTTTAAATAAAAAAACCCCATACTTAGTATATTAAACGAAGGTGGTGTGGAGTTCTCAGCTGGTCAAACAGTATGTTTTGGGCCCTGAAATACAAAGTTAGCTCTGTTTGTAGGGAGCATAAAGTTCACTGGGAAGCATGAAGTCCAAAGGGCCATCAGAATATACAAAGTGCTGTATGAAAACAGGTTTCAAAAATGTGCTTCAGAAAGATTACTTATGTGTAGAAAAGATCCATTTCAAGTTCTCTGATTGAGGTGCTGCAAGAACTGTTGGA